TAAAAGATTTATATTATATATCTGATAATTCATTTTATTTACAATAATCATTGTTATGTCAATTGGTTGGCGTTTCCTCTATTAAATAGAGGTCTCGGGTTCGAAACCTTCCAATGCCAATATGTTGTGTAATTTTTGTAAACATTTTTTACCAAAAACAAGTGCAAAGTGGATTTGAGCATGTGACATTTGCTAAAGTATATTCATAGATTTACCATCATGGCAAGCATTAATTTGTCATATTTAAGGAAACAAAATAATATATGTTCATTTTACCGGTTTTAATGCAAACAGAAACATTTTAATCGGTAATTTGTCCCCCTTCTTGATTATTTTTTTCTCTAATCAATTTATTTGAGAGTTTGGTCAATTAATGACGAATGAATTTGTAAAAAAAAATTGGCGTTAGTGTCATAAGGAGACTTTCAACAAAACTTATTTAATTAATAGAAAGTTCTTTTCTTCATCAATTTATTTGAGAGTTTGGTCATGTTCGTTGTTTATGTACAAGTAGCAAAATTCTAAATGATATATATTATAGCTCATTCGGTATTTTTCTTGTGCGTACCCAGTATATTGCTTGACAACAATAATAAATGTCTTGCTTATTACTTACCTACTTGTGATGCAAAAAAATAATAATAATAATAACAATAATAAAATAAAAATAAAATACGCTTGAGAGAACCGCACAAACAACTTTCTTCATTCTGTACACAAAATAACGACAGAAATTGGAAATAAAAACCTTTCCAACGGTTAGCCTTTACTTACCTGATTTATCAGTTTCAACGACTGAACCTACTATGAAAAAAAATATATAGAAAAAGGAGAGCAAGAAGCATTGTTCTCATTTTACAACTGCTCTCACAATTCATCTAACCAAACAAAAATCCTGCCATCAGCATTAGTTAATCTCGTTCAACAAAATCTTTCTCTAATTACAAAAAGCAAGCTGTATAAATCAGGGTAGTCTGCAAAACCACAGATATTCCAATCAACTGTTCGGCACTTAACACCTCTCTCGCACATACGTCCCCCCTTAATCGATCTTTATATAATACGTGTTAGGTAGATACTCAGATGATGGATAAGTGTACAATATATTGGGTTTATTGGGTTCCAGACAGTCCAACAGTTACAAGCTCGTATGTTGAAGAGAATCGGCTGAGATGATGGGGAGTGAAACAACAGGTTGACAATTGTTGAATAAAGAAGCCCCTGAACTGTAAATATCGCCAATTTGATCACTTGCATTCAACCCACTTGTTGGGCCAGGACTCATTTGAAAAAGCTGAATGAGCGAGGAAAAAATTTCATGGCGCGTGACATGTGAGTTTCCCTGCAAGGCATTTTGAACTTCTGTTGGTAAATGGATATGGAAACAGCTAAAATAAACACAAATTTAGAGGGATACCATTGATTAGGTTAGAGTTTACCTCAGCCTCGACTATGAAGTGTGCCCAAATCTTGGTTTCTTGAACTTCCATCACTCCCTTCAAGATAATCAAGCCAAAATTTCGAATTACATCTATAATTTCCAAAAAGAAGCCTTGTTCATCACAAAGGGTCTGCACCAAAAAATAAATATATGTTAGAAGTGCTCACTGTATGAAATAGTGTTAGCATATTTGGTACGCATTAGTAGACTTGACTACAATATAATAAACAGGACTATAATATAATAAACACACCAATAATTTTTCCTTACCTCTATAAGCATTTGGCCGGGGGAACTTAGGTCCTTAACTATCAGAGGACAAAGCATAGATTGATCGCCAACTTCACATGCCCATGTGACTCCAACATCATGACCATTGGAGTTGTCTATCTGTAGAGAAACCTTCTATTAGCCAACAGTAAACCTTCAACATTGAATGCTATGGAGCAGATCTGTTTTGCAATAGTTAAGAACAATAAGATGAAAAATTTACCATTGGACTATCAGTTTTCTTAAGGCTCTCTCTATGTTTCATCAAACTTTGCATGAAATTCAAGTGTCTTATAGTTTGTTGCAACAAACGATCAATGCTCATCTGTTACATCAGCCAATTGCTACATGAGTAGAAGTCAATGAAATCTGGCATCACTCCACAAAATAACTCTGATTTAGTAAAATAATCCTACTAATTTACTTACCTTTTCACCGTTAGGAATGAGTTGTCTCAATTCCACAAGACGGTCTTGGATCTGCTGACGATCTTTTGGCCTGGGGCGAGTTCCTGGTTTAGCCTTCTTCTTCATCATTTTTGCAGGTCCTTCATTACCTTTTAATGAATTATTCATGCTTCCGTTATCACCACCTATTAGTGAACCTCCTTTTGTAGAGGCTTCATAGTTGGGCTCAAGAAAACTTGTTTTATTGGGATCATATAATGGATTCAGTGACTTCATTTTCCCATCATAGCTAGGAAGACCTCGAAATTTCACTCGGTCAGAGTTCCAATAATGATCGTCAATTTTTCTTCTTTTAGCAGTGGATGAAACTTGATCCTCAAATCTGGATCTGGCAGATGAACAAGAGCTACTAGCGGTACCTCCCAAAAGATAATCAAGTCCTAATTTGGAGAACAAGCTGTTGGGATTCTCGACTTTGGATCCAATGTATTGCTCTGAGATGCATTTCGAGTTTTCCATACTGAAGTCCAAATTTCCACCGTTCACAACTGGCATCAGAATTTCACTCCAATCCTCTGATGTTTTAGACCCGGGCTCCATTCCAAGACCATCACAGAGTCTGTCTATGCCAGACATGTCAGAAAATTTCTTTTTTCCATTAGAGTTGAATGATTCTGTGATGGAACTTTGTATTGAATTTGAGGGAAGATTTTCCAAGACGTTTATAGTCGAGTTATGTCCACGAAAACTAAACTGTGGAGTGAATCCCGTGGCAGATGATTTGCCATTACCGGGTGTGGTAGCAAATGAGGTACTGCTTTCGTCTGGTAGAGGTGAAAGCCACTGAGAGAAGTCATCCAGTTTACAATCATTTGAGGGGAGCAACAGAGTACAATTCTGGTTATTCAGCGGTTCTTTTGACAAATGTTGGTTGTGCAGTGAATTGAATGCCAAGTTCCCATGAGGATACAAATTCGAATCTCTGCAAGACTCATAACTGCTCAGTTTTGAGAATGAAGCGTTCTCACTCTGTTCAGGTGGCAAATAATGCCACGATGAAGTCACAACAGAATCTCCACTGTCGCTGCTAGGTGCTGGGGCGGTTGAGGAATCAAAGTAAGCAGCAGTCTCTAAAAGCAACTGTTCCATTTCATTGTTCGATTTGCTTCCAATTCGAGTTTGGTTCTCGAATAGAGAAGATATAGAGGATAAGGAGTTCATGCTCTGATGGCTCGACCTAGAAGGAAGTGACTGGATAGGAATCACTGAAGAATAATTTGCATCCATCAAATCCTCATAGCCCGCAAAAATTTCACAATCTAAAGATGAAGATTTATTCTCTGATAACACGATTAACTGATCTTTACTCATCCCTCTAAAATGTTCTTTGACTTGATCAACAAATTCCTCTCTCTCTGGGATCTGCAGTCAAGAATTTATATGTCACTAAGAGGAAAACACCTTTGGAATACCATATTTGCACGATTTTGGACTCGATCTGATAACTTCGTAGGTTATATATTATAAGGGCAAGAAAATGCACATTTGGTACCAGTACTAACCTTCTCGGTAGATCCAAATTGCACCACACCAAATGGTTCCACTGAGATTACAACTATTGTCTACAAAACATAGATTCAAGTTAGTTACTTCCTAAATCAAAACCGTGCAATTTGATGCAAAAGACACATGTTTTTCCAAGACAAACTGGCTTAGAGTGAAGGCAATAAATCAAGTACCTTTATACCAGTAGAGAATTGGCAATAGAATTCCGAATCATCCTGCAGAAATGACGTTCGCAATTTCAAATTAGTCAACAGGAATTTTCAACTGTGCTGTTTTAGTACTACGTTAAGTTTCTAAAAGACGACTTGAGCAAAACCTATGAGACCTGCTAATAATTTATAAAGAAATGAAAATAAAAAAGAGAAAAAAAAAATAGAAGAGATTGAAGATGGGAAATGTTAGTACCTGGAAAATATCAGGACTCCCAATCAATGCTAAAGAATTCTGCCTTTCATGATGGGCATCTGAGAATATCCATCTGTGGGATTTAGTGAATGCAGCTTGGCCAACTACCCTGTTAAGACAAATATATATCATTCTTAGCCCTGTCGAATGGATTAAGGATTAAGCTCTAATTCCTAAATATGGGAGCAAAAATAGATGAAATGAAATTAGAAAAAATACAAAGTGGTTCAACAAGATGGAACAATATTTTGGGCTTACCCTCCACCAAATACGTGCACTTGCAGAAGCATATTCTCAATCACATCTCCCATTTGTTCTTCATAGTAAGAATCTTGTAATGTCAACAATCTGGCATGCCAAAAGATTCAGGCCAAATGAGCAAAATATTTTAACTTTATCATGAGAAAAGGTAACTAAACAGAAAATGATGAATCCTTTTCTTGAAAACAATCAAAACATCAAAACCAAATCTATATAAGAATAATTTCTAAAATTTCTCTTCTCTCTGGTTAAGCATTAATTTTCCATTCTCTCTCTTTTGGACAATTTCATCAATGCAAATATTTCCTACATAGGTAGAATATAACATAAGAAATATGCAAATGAGTAATAAAGAGAGAGATAGAGACTTACAAGAAATTTTTCTGATCGAAACCCCAGAAAATCCCATAAGACCATCCATTACTGCAACAAAAACTTTTAAGGATCTTCCTTATCATTGAACTACCCTCTTCTGTACCCATTTTGCGAAAAAATATGAAAGAAATCCAAGAAACAAGTTTGTTTTTTCTTTTGTTGTTAACAAACAAGTTTTGAGATCACCACACACACACAAAAGTACAATCTTTACTGGCTGTGTTGTGTAGTATTGTGTGACGTGAAGAGATGTGTCTGTCTGAACCTAAAGGGCCAAAAGCTTGAAGAGGAGTTGTCAATAAACATACAAAAACAGAAATGGGAAAAATATAAAGCGCTTAGGTAACAGGAAGACAAGAAAGATAACCAAGAGAATTTAAAGTGGATTTAATGTGTAGATATATATGTAATATATAATATATATTGATGAGATTGGGTTGGTTTGGTTTGGTTTGGGTGGGGTGGGGTGGTGTGGGGGTGGTGGGGTACAGGGGTAGGTATGGGAACAAGAGGGGTTCGTTTTGTCTATGCAAGGAAGGACCATAATCAAATTAAAAGTCCTAGCTTGAAGGGAACAGAGATTTTCCTCATTTATGCTTAGAATCCTTGTACTTTTCATCTGTCTTGTGTGGGAAAAATACAAGGACTATGCTTTATGGCAAAGGGATAAGTTAAAACGATATTTCATTAACAACACAATAAAAAATATATAGTAAAAATAATTTGCTTCTTAACTATTTCTATTATACAATAAAATATGAAATGATTGGTTTTCACAGTTATTGAGAGTTATTATGTCCCCAATAAGAGTAGGTATATTAAAAATGGAGTCATATTTTGTTGCTAATAGGAAAATTTCATGTATATCACAATCATTTGCTATAAAGAGTATTTATGCTTCTTAATAAAAATTATAATAAAATACAATAAACTACCCCTTTTTTTGGGAAATCAAAACAAATAATTTGGCTCTTAACTTTTGGTTCACATGAAACTTGTCATAAAATGTCTATGCTTCTGTATTTTGTTCTCTCGTTTATCTCAAGTCTTCAGTGTTGCGGTAAAATTACTATAAGAAATGAGAGTTTTGACCAAATCTCTTTATAATAATCTTATCCAATCTCTAAATTAGAATTAACAAGAAAAAAAAAAAGATTAACATTGAATAATTTGTAAAGAGAACTATCTTAAAACAATTTAGAGGTCAAAAAGTGAGGATTTATTAGTGTTAAAACTAATGTTCTAAACCAACCCAACATGTAATTTGATGAAAACTATCCAATGCTACCAATCAATATGATGCCCCCTTTAAAAAGTTTTCAACAGCAAGCCTGCAAAGATTTTAGTAGTGGCAAAAACATTATGGGAAATGTCATTTTCAGCAATTATTACAAACTACAATTACCTCAAATATTTATAAATTAGACGGTCCTCTTTGCTTCCTCAACAGTCCACCTCTCAAGAACCTATGGCCCAATTACATTCTTTGGGGTTTAAACCACTTTAATGTCAAAAGCACTGCAAAAATTCTAGTTGGCGAGAGTTGATTTGATGGAAAAGATGATCGTGTTTTAAACAATTCAATGATACAGTATCATATGACAATATATAAATCAATATGTCAATTGTATTTGACATTGTAGCATGGTTCTTTTTTTTAATTTCAGGCCATATTTTAGGGCATGTTTGGTACAGATTCTCATTTTCTACAGTAAATGAATTCTCATTTTCAACCACGCATTTTTTAATAAAATAATATTTTCCATCACATCAATACTTTTTACTTCTTTTTCAACCACACAATTCCCATCATATCACTATTCAAAATCAATTTTTCCCCCAAAAAATCACAACCAAACAAGCTCT